TTTTGCATTCCAGTCCCCTATAATGAAAAGGACATCTTTTTTTGGGTGTTATTTCTAGAAGTCTTGTAGGTCTTCATAGAACCGTTCAACCTCAGCTTCTAAAGTGTAACTGGTTGGGGCATAGACTTGGATTACTGTGATATTGAATGGTTTGCCTTGGAAACAAACAAATATCATTCAGTCATTTTTGAAATTGCATTCAAGTACTGCATTTCGGACTCTTGTTGACTATGATGGCTACTCAATTTCTTCTAAGGGATTCTTGCTTACAACCTAGAGGCATGTTAAAAAGCAGAGCCATCAGTTTGTCCACAAAGGTACGTATAGTCAAAGCTACTTTTTCCACTAGTCATGTAAGGCTGTGAGAAAATGGAAGTGAAAGTGTTAGTTCCTCAGTCCTGCCCAACTCTCTGTGACCTCATGGACTGTAGCCCACCAGACTCCTCTGTCCATGTGATTCTCCAGCCAAGTTCTGGAGTGGGTTCCCATTTCCTTCTCCAGAGTATCTTTCTGACTGGGGTATTGAACCTGGGTCTCCTGCATTGCAGGCAGATTCTTTGCCCTCTGAACCATCAGGGAAGCTGCACAGATGTGAGTGCTGAGGGCCAAAGAATTGATGCTCTCAAACTGTGGTGCTCTAGAAGACGTTTTTGAGTTCCTCGGACAGCAAGGAGATCAAATCTGTCAATCCTAAAGGAAATCAACCGTGAACATTAATGGAAGGACTCATGCTGAAGCTGAAGCTCCAACAACTCTGGCCACCTGATTGGAAGAACCGACTCATGGGAAAAGACCCTGATGCTGGGAAAGACTGAAGGGAGAAGAAGAGAACAACAGAGGATGAGATGGTTCCTGCTCGGTTCCAAGAGCTGCTGTGACCTTTTTTGACTCAGAAACAGGAAAAATATTTCTTGCAAAGCAGTAAGATTCATGGCTGATGGTCAAGGTAGAACTGAGCATTGCCTGTTGGAGAAAGAAGAGTTCAGCCTGTGGTCAAGTTTATAATGGAAATGTGGAAAGATGGAGTTGCTATTATTTGATGTTGAAAAGATGGAGTCAGGAGTTTGATTTGTGGCATTTTAATACACCTATTGAAAGCACTGTTTACTTAAAATGGTAAGATTCAGTGCTAACATAGACATTATAGGACGAAAAGAGGCCTGACAACTAATTACCAAGGGATTGAACAATTATAATTTGGAGAAAATGTGCCTGGTTCATAGAGTACACCTAGGGAACCCCCTCAGGCCCGCTTTAATTCCCAAACTACATTTCCCATAATCCTTTACGCTCTGCCCTTCCTTGTTCGCGTCCAGTTTTGCAGTCCCGCGACACTTAGAAGGCGGAAGTGAAGCGGAAGCCATTACTCTTGGGAGGAGAGTGCTGCTATACACATGGGAAGAGGAGTGGTCCACCGTGGCTTCTTACAAGCACTTGGTCCCCGCGGCCGATCGGACTTTCCGTATGAACTTGTCATTCCCTCAACCGCAGCTTCCGTGACCTTTGCGTCCCATGATTCTACTGTCGGTGATGTAAGTCCCGCTTTCCTCACTTAACCCTTTACTCTTGGCCTTCGAGAAAACCCGGGAGGCCCCAAAAGCCGGCGGAGGTAACAGGGGACAGGACCTGGGATGTGGAAGCCAGGCAGGAGTGTGATTTAGACCCTGTGATAAGCGTAATGAAGTGCTGGTGACGAAGTTTAGGACCAGGGTGAGGCACCAGTGATGTGGTTCAAAAAAACTGACATCTTGGGGTGAGGACAGAAAAACCCATTCCAGGTGAGTTCAGTACGTTATTGAGGCGGATATGTGTGTCAGGAATTGGAGACTCAAGGATAAACTACCTACCTTTTGCTTTGTGCTCATTTTGTCTAATATTAGTAGGAGCACACCGGTTTTCCTTCAGTTAACATTTGTCTTGAATGCTTTTTTGCAGTTAAACTTTTCTGTTACTTTAGTTGACTGTCGTGTAAATAGTCTATAACTAGATTTAAAAATGCACTTCAACGTTGTTGTTTAACTTGGGAATTAGTCCATTAATATTTAATGTGATTACTAATATTTTGCATTGACTTTTGCCGTCTTATTTGGTGCTTTCTATTTTCCCTTCGAATAATTTTTTTTATTAGAATATAGGACATATATGTCCCCCCCAAAGTATGAAAACACACAAAATTAAAAGAAGAATAAAGTGAATCCTCAAACTAAGACAAGAAAAATAACATTATGAAAACTCAGAAACCTGTATTCTTCTGAACTGGATGCACCTCCTTCTCCATGATTTTCTTCCTAGATTTTATTGCTTATATGTTTTCTTAAAAATGTATTTGCTAATTTTCGTAATTACTTATGATGAATTACATGCACCCAAGTATTTTCAGAGACATGCGCCTACCATTCTTTCTTAAATACCTAGTGACTTAAATTTTAGTCAGTTTACAAAGTTCCATATACTGTGGTTTTATTTGGAAATTGTGTTTTTTATATGTATATATATACACACACACTTATACACACACACACACACACACACACACACACATCTGTGCATGTGTATAAATTTGGGGAATATTGGCATTATTATGCCATTGAATTTTACAGTTAACTGGTTTCATCTTCTATAATGCTTTTCAATAAAGTTTTATGAGTATCAGCAAGAAAGATATAATGGTTTTTGTTATTGTTAGTTTTATTCCTTGGAAAGTACTGATGTATATTTATGTTTTTCTTTTGTATCACAAATTTATTTTTATTATTTACTTTCTTTGCTGGACTTCTAGTAGCATTGAATGGAGTTTGAAAAGCCAACTTGAGGCAATCCTGTTTTCTTTCTGATCTTAAGGGAAATTAACTTGAGTTTTAGCTGAAGGCTTTTTTTTTTTTTAATAGTATTAGGTAAAGGAAGTGCCTTTTTCCTAATCTAAGAGTTTTTTTGTCATGGATCAGAGTGATTTTTCTTTTCCAGCATCTATTTTGATATGTTGATGTATTTCAGCCATCTCAAACTATGTCTGATGTGTAGGTTCTAGTTCTGTTTGTGCTTTAAATGAGTAAGTGAAAAATATGATTATTTTATTTACCTGATAATGGTATTAAACCAATTACAGAATTAAACTAATCTACATTTGAGTGAAATTGGCTTGTAATTTTCCTTTTCTGTTTCAGGTTTATGCCAGCCTCATAAAATGGGGTGGGGTTGTTCTCTCTTTTTTTCTAAACTCTGGAATATTTTACCTAAGAGTAGAATCACTTTTTCCTTAAAAGGGAATTGTACCAGGAAAAACCATTGGGGACTGGAGGTTTTTATTTTTTCTAAAGCTGTTGTTTTCACTTCTCTAAGAGTCAAAGGGNTGACTACTGGAAAAACCATAGCTTTGACTAGACAGATCTTTGTCGGTAAACTGTTGTCTCTGCTTTTTAATATGCAGTCTAGGTTGGTCATAGCTCTTCTTCCAAGGAGTAAGTGTCTTTTAATTTCATGGCTGCAGTCACCATCTGCAGTGATTTGGGAGCCCCCCAAATATAAAGTCTGTCACTGTTTCCATTGTTTCCCCATCTGTTTCACATGAAGTCATCTCTTACTGTGTTTTTAATGCTTGATACATGTGTAATGTTACCAGTTTTTCATTCTCATTTTTATATGTTTTTTCCTTTATTTTAAATAAATCCTGTCAGAATTGTGTCAATTTTGTTTTTCTCTTAAAACTTTTGGCTTGATTGAACCACTTTATAATATGTATATTTTCTATTTCATAACTTTGTGTTTTTCATAATTTTCTTCTTTTACTTTCTTGGCACGTTTCTTTACAGTTTCTTACATTGGATACCTGCATGTCCCAAAGGACTGTAGTGAGTATTCTATTGTATTTCAGTTCTAAGTATTATCAAAAATACTATGACTTCTTTGACATGAAAGTTATTTAGGACTTTTAGTTTCAATTTCTGTGACCTTTATCTGGTTATCTTTTGGTTATTGTTTGCTAACTTACACTGTTGTCAGATTGATGCCATTTTCTGAGACACACATTGTACCCCATGTGTGGTTGGATTTTATAGTTAGGAAATACTATTTCATCTTGTGCATTCTACATATAATTATTGAGTTGTCTGCTTGAACGTATTATTGAGAGCTCTGGTAGTGGCTTTGTCTATTCTCATTAGAGAGCCCCCCCTCCCCCTATACTTTTGAGGCAAAAACAAATATAGTATATAGCTAAAACTGTATATTGCTTTTTCTGGGGTTATACCTTTTTTCATTAGGTAGTTTCCTCAGTTTTCACTCTTAGCCTTTTTGCTTTAATTCATTCTGGTATTATTTAAACCAGATTTTTAAAAAAGTATTTACCTTGTATGTGAAGTGAAAGTCACTCAGTCATGTCCGACTCTTTGAGACCCCATGGATATAGTCCATGGAATTTTCCAGGGAAGAATACTGGAGTGGGTGGCCTTTCCCTTCTCCAGGGGATCTTCCCAACCCAAGGATTGAACCCAGGTCTACCCGCATTGTATGCAGATTCTTTACCAGCTGAGCCACAAGGGAAGCCTGTTTACCTTGTATATGTTCTTTATATTTCCTTTCTTGCTATATTCTTATTTTTTAGATGTTCTTGCAAACACCATATAGCTGGATTGTTTTTACTCCATTTTGAGAATCTCTTTACTGTAGTTGTAAGTGTTTGGTCAACTTTTTTATAGCATCTTTTTTTTTTCTGCCCTCTTCTTTTGATTTGAGAATTTTGTTCACTGCACATTTTTCTCTGCATGTTTTGAATTTACCTATGTATTTATATATATATCTATATATATATATAGATATAGATATATATAGATAGATAGATAGAATTTATTTATGTGTATTATCTTAGTAGTTGTCTTGGAGAATTCTTATCCTTGTTCATGAAATTTAGATTTTTGATACCTTATCACTCTTCTGGTTTACATGGTTTTGTGATCATCCATTTTATTATTATTTTTTTAAATACTTATTTAATTATTTGGTGTGCCTGGTCTTAGTTGTGGCAAACAAGATCTTCAATCTTCATCTTTATTTTGTGGTATGCAGGGTCAAGTTCCCTGACCAGGGATTGAACCTGGGCCCCCTGCATTGTGAGCAGAATTTTAGCCACTGGACCATCAGGGATGTCACTGATCATGCATTCTAATTGTGTCTTTTTTTTTTTTTTAACTTGAAAGAGATTATTGTGTATAATCATGTTTAGTTTCATTATACCCACACATTTTCCTCATTGTATTCTTTCTTTGACTCTTGGACCCTTTGGTGTAAGTTCTTAACAGTCTTTGCTTCCTTGAATTTTCTTTTCTCCCTAAAATATTTATTTTAGAATTTCTCTTTTCTGTGAGTGGCAAGTTCAAATATGCTGTTATTTTGCTATCTTAATGGACATTTTGATTTTTAAAGTATATTCCAGAGCCATGAAGATGTTCCACTATCTTCTGGCTCCCATTGTTGCTGGCCAGAAGTCAGGTGTCAGCCTAATGTTTTATTTTTTTAAAGCAATGATTCTTAAAGTGTGTTCTTCAGACCAACAGCATCAAGATAGATTCATCAGTCTACTTCAGAACTCTCATTTAATTGGGCTTGGATATGAACTGGGCATCAGAATTATTAAAGTTCTCTAGGTGATGTTTATGCAGCTGGCTTGAGGACCACACTTTGAAAAACAGGGGTTTTTTTTGAGAGGGGGACTGTATAATCTGATGAAACTCTTTGTTTCAACATTTTGCCTTTATTTTAACAATTGTAATTGTCCTTTTAGAAATTGCACATTTTAAACTTTCTGCATATTTATTATCAGCATGTGAATGATTTTAAAACATACCTGTGTTTATTTTGTATTGCACTTAAAATAGTTTTGAATGGAAGATTTAAGCAGTATATGTAGATTGCCTGTTGGAAACAGAAGTATTAATCTGTCCTTTTATCTCCTGGGACATTTCATCTGGTTGGTTGAAAGCCTACAGATAGTGAAGTATGAAGTGAAGTGAAGTAGTGAAGTGAAGTTGCTCAGTCATGTCCAACTCTTTGCGACCCTGTGGATTGTAGCTCACCAGGCTCCTCTGTCCATGGGATTCTCCAGGCAAGAATACTGGAGTGGGTTGCCATTTCCTTCTCCAGGGGATCTTCCCGACTCAGGGATTGAACCCAGGTCTCCCGCATTGCAGGCAGACGCTTTAACCTCTGAGCCACCAGGGAAGCCCATTAGTGGAGTATAGAGATGTTAATATACGAGTGTAACACATTTCTGGAGTAAAAAAAAAAATGGCTTACAGTGTTCTCACAACTATTGTTTCTTTGAGCCTACAGGAATAACTGGTAGAAACAGTTCCAGCAGAGGCAGAAATACCACTCAATAAAAGTAATAGAAAGATTATTCTCTCTATAGTATTTCCACCTGCAAATTCTGAGTATCTTTGGGTTGTATTACAAAATTGAATATGGGGATTTTAAATCAAATATTGGAGGAATTATGGCCACAAAAGGAGAAATCATAATAGAATGATTGTAAAGGATAAAATGTGTTTTGGACTGAAAAACCGATGAAGGTGGGTCTTCTGTAATTGTGAGGAGCAGGGGTGAGATGAGGGTGAGGTAGAAATGCATGTGAGCATGCAGAATACATGGTGGCATTTACTCTGTGCTTGTGTGATGCTGAAATCTCTATCCAGGGTCACCAATTCTAGTTCTAGTGGTATAATTGCTCACATGAGAAATACTCCAGAACTTTGCTTTGGTCCCTAGTTTACATTACCATGAGTCTTTGAAAATATCCTACAGGTTTGAAATTGATGTGAGTGCTTTCTCCATCCAGGCTTGAACCACTTGTGTACCTTGCCCCATATTGCAGATGGTGGTGAACAGTGAGGGCCAAGGCATGCCTAAGCCACATGGCTGTGTCAACATACATCTCATAGGACCTGAACAGGATCCCCCTCCCCTCCCAGTTCCATCCCTTGTGATCTTCCCAAGACCCCAGGCCCAGGGATGTCTTCTCAGTATGAAGAGAAATGTGGGTCAGCTTATTTGTCACCATTCATTCTTTCGCACTCTTTAAATCTGTTTATTATTTGAGGTACTGTTCCATACACTGCATACTCAGTTGCTTAGTCCTGTCCAACTCTTTGTGACCCCATAGACTGTAGCCCGCCAGGCTTCTCTGTCCATTGGGTTTTCCAGACAAGAATACTGGAGAGTGGGTTGCCATTTCCTTCTCCAGGGGATCTTCCTGACCCAGGAATCGAACCTGCATCTCTTATGTCTCCTGCATTGGCAGGTGGATTCTTTTACCCACTGAGCCACCTGGGAAGCCCTTCAGACACTGCAGCAGTGAGCAAAACAAAGAAGTGAAAAATATTTGTCTTCTTGGCACTTCTTGTCTAGCAAGGTATACATTGTGTAAGAAATTTTGTCCAGAGAGCAAATATTTGAATCATTGTTAGTGAGATGACCTGATTCTAGTGATGACAAGCCCTGAGCTGTAGCCCACAATTGTGTATGTTGACATAGAGTATGGGGCCAAAAGGCATTGAGATCAGAACATATGGTCCTAGATGGACCCTCCTCATTGTTACTTGAACCATCGTAAGCCAGGATGAACCTTGAAGAAGTCTGGAGCCTAAGTGTTTAGTGAGTGACAGAGTTTAGCATAATTGTAATTGGTGACATGGACTTCTCATGTGGCTCTGTGGTAAAAGAATCTGCTTGCCAAGCAGGAGATGCAGGTTTGATCCCTGCATTGGGACAGTCCCCTGGAGTAGGAATTGGCAACCACTCCACTATTCCTGCCTGGGAAATTTCATGGACAGGGGAGCCTGGTGGGCTACAGTCCATGAGTTGCAAAGAGTTGGACATGGCTTAGTAACTGAATAACAATTGGTGACACATTACTTGAGAGAGTGACTCTGAATCTTAGTTGAGGTGGGTCCAGGACCTCCACCATATTGCCTGAAGGTTTTACCTAAGCAAGGTTAAGACCCAGAATTTTAAGACAGAATTTGCTGCTCAAAAGAGGAAATGCTGAAAAACAAGTCAGAATTGTCGTGTGAGCGGGAGAGACAGAAAACCTTTGGCTACACCTAGTATAGTAGTCTTTCTCTCATTTCCTGCAGATGTCTGCTCCAGGAGGCCCATGAGAGAGAAAGTAGCTTCCTGCTCCCAGGCCCTGCTGTTCAGGCAGATTTACTGTCATTCTTGAAGATGGCAGCTCTTGGCCTGGTTCCTACATGTGGTAAGTTCTTTGGGTGTTGAATAGCCTCAGAAATCAAGCTTCTGTGGCTCCTGCCACTTCACTGAGGGCAAGGATGTGCACAGCTGGTGGGAAGGCTGCCAGGTCAAAAGTGGTGGAGGATACATGAACTGAAATGGGTGGGGCAAAGTCCTGAGAGCTCCCCTAGCAACTGTGTCTGATTCAGGATCTTTGTGAGTTTGGGTGAGGCAGGGAGTGTTTGTAGTTGGTGAGTAAGGAAGGCTATAGGTAATTGATAACCCATTTATTATTTTGATAAATCTGAGCAAAATAATAGCTCCATCTCTTAGAGCTTTCATTTCTTCTCTCATAAATTGAGAATGTATATCATTTTCTTTTTTTTTTGAGAATGTATATTAGTTTATATCTTTTTTATTTTTTGAGAATGTGTGTCATTTTCTTTATGGCTATGTAGGCCCACCACCCTTTTTCCTGTCCTTGAGTGGAATAGGGCTGCTCTGGCTTGTTATACAACTTTGTGTGTGTGTGTGTGTGTGTGCGCGTGCGATTGTGATTGGGGCATATGCACCGCACACACACATAATTAGTATGGGATCATTTCCTCATTTACAAGTGTCAGGTGGGCTTTAATCCTCATAGGTTCTCTCTTCTCTAGCTATGCCCAACCAGGAACCTGCCTATATCCATGAGTCAGAAATTCCTCTTTCTTCAAAAGACCATTCCTGTCCCCAGGATGTGGACCTGTTTGCATGCAATGGCCTGGAACCTCATACATCAACCAGTGTTGAACCACCTCAGGTATACCAAGTTCTTTAAGACCCCTGAAGGTGGGGGAGGGTCTTCATCTAGGCTGATGGATGCCTGATCAGAGTGCAAGAGGAAGAACCAGAGAAGGTTGTGAGGCTGGTATCAGGGATGTTAGGGAAAATGGCGTGTAACAGGTTGTATTTTCATCATACAGCACAGAGCTCTCAGGCCAGGCTAAAAGTGAAAGGAGGTTTGATCCCATGTCAGAGTTGCATTTGAAACCATGAGATAGGATGAAATTATCTCATAAGGAAGAGAAGACATCTGAGGACTGTCTTCTAAAGTAAATGTTTAGACCCCAGAGCCAATTATTGAAAATCCTGTGTTTAGAGTCTCTCACACATAGTCTTTATCCTCAGCTGTCTTTTTTAACACAGGCTGGGTTCTCACTGACCCCAAATATGTGTGGTTTCAGGAATCAGTGACTTTCCAGGATGTTGCTGTAGACTTCACTGAGAAGGAGTGGCCCTTGCTGGACTCTACTCAGAGAAAACTGTACAAAGATGTGATGCTGGAGAACTATAGCAACCTTGCTTCAGTGGGTAAGGCTGGTGTCATTTCTTCATTCGTTCATTCATGATTCAAATGTCCTTGTTACAAGTGCTTGCTGTGACTCAGGAACTGTGTGGGGATTTAGAATACAGTTATGAACAAATTGACCTGGTCCCTGCCCTAGTGGTATCTCCCTTTGGATATTGATATCTGTCCACTGCATTGACCTTGGAGGTTATGTGTGTCTGACCTTGGGCATAGTTTTCTGAGTTAAGAAATCCTCATTCTTTTGAAGGGCACAATGTGTGGGAATATTTGGGGTATTGTGTTTTATGAAAGCATTTCACTGTGTTCCTTAGAAATGTGGCACTACCATTTTGCTACTCCTAAGTTCAGACTTGTCCATCCTCAGAACATTGAAGACCAAAACACTGACACGAGAGTATTGGAAGGGGTGGTCCTCTGCACGATCCTCCCTCAACATATATCTTTCCCCATGAGCAGGGTGCCAGGTGGGCAAACCCAGCCTCATCTCCCACTTGGAGCAAGAAGAGGAACTGAGGACAGAGGATCGGGAGCTTCACCGAGGCCCTTGTCCCGGTAAGCGCCAGGCAGACACAAGTGCTGCTGAGAATCTGCACTTGCCAGCAATAGGGATGAGTGGGGTTTCCTCGGGAAACCTCACCCAGGTTGAAAATGCACTCTCTCTTTCACTGCACCTCCATCCGCTCAAAAGTCTTTTGGTTTCGGTGTCCCTTCATCTTTAAATTTGAGGTGGCCATGTGGGCTCTTTGTCCCATTCTTTCTACTCAACATTCCTGGTCATACTGTTAATAGCATTATCAATGTAAGTATTTGAAGAGTTAATTCTTAATGAGTCAACTTAAATTTCTACCCCCTTCATTGCCAGATGTCTCACATGTCCAGATTTCTCAGTCCTTTCTACTTATGTGTGTTCTCCCCTCTCACTTTCCATTTCCTTCTTTATGGTTTGTATCTGCAAAGAAAGCCACCTCTGTTTTTGTCACCATCATCCCACAATTTTCCTTCACCAGCAGGTTGATATTTTTCCAATTTGTTTCAGATTGGGCGACGCCATCTCAAACCAAATGGTCAATTCTTATGGAAGATATTTTTGGGAAGGAAACATCTAATGGTGTGACAGTGGTAAGATTTCCTTGGAATAATTCTGAATCGTCCATATTGAGAGAGGACAGGGGCAGCCTGAGTTAGAAAAGCTTCTCAAAACCAGGCAGGTCCCCCACACCCCTCAACCACGCCCAAGAGCAAACAGTGATAGAGATAATATTACCAGTTTTGGGAAAACCCTGAATTTGGCCCCAGAATTTTCTTAAAGTTCTATTGAGTAATTATTTCTGTAACTACATCTCAGATGTCGAGTGTTGGCTTAATTTAGTTTTGAACAGTTAACAGAGTACATATGCAAAAAGCTTTGTGAAAGTTACACACATGGCATTCATTTGTTTTCTTTTTTGATGGAGTCCATACAGGGCAGAAGCAACACTTTGACAGGCTAAAAGTGAAAGGAGGTTTGATCCCATGTCAGAGTTGCATTTGAAACCATGAGATAGGATGAAATTATCTCATAAGGAAGAGAAGACATCTGAGGACTGTCTTCTAAAGTAAATGTTTAGACCCCAGAGCCAATTATTGAAAATCCTGTGTTTAGAGTCTCTCACACATAGTCTTTATCCTCAGCTGTCTTTTTTAACACAGGCTGGGTTCTCACTGACCCCAAATATGTGTGGTTTCAGGAATCAGTGACTTTCCAGGATGTTGCTGTAGACTTCACTGAGAAGGAGTGGCCCTTGCTGGACTCTACTCAGAGAAAACTGTACAAAGATGTGATGCTGGAGAACTATAGCAACCTTGCTTCAGTGGGTAAGGCTGGTGTCATTTCTTCATTCGTTCATTCATGATTCAAATGTCCTTGTTACAAGTGCTTGCTGTGACTCAGGAACTGTGTGGGGATTTAGAATACAGTTATGAACAAATTGACCTGGTCCCTGCCCTAGTGGTATCTCCCTTTGGATATTGATATCTGTCCACTGCATTGACCTTGGAGGTTATGTGTGTCTGACCTTGGGCATAGTTTTCTGAGTTAAGAAATCCTCATTCTTTTGAAGGGCACAATGTGTGGGAATATTTGGGGTATTGTGTTTTATGAAAGCATTTCACTGTGTTCCTTAGAAATGTGGCACTACCATTTTGCTACTCCTAAGTTCAGACTTGTCCATCCTCAGAACATTGAAGACCAAAACACTGACACGAGAGTATTGGAAGGGGTGGTCCTCTGCACGATCCTCCCTCAACATATATCTTTCCCCATGAGCAGGGTGCCAGGTGGGCAAACCCAGCCTCATCTCCCACTTGGAGCAAGAAGAGGAACTGAGGACAGAGGATCGGGAGCTTCACCGAGGCCCTTGTCCCGGTAAGCGCCAGGCAGACACAAGTGCTGCTGAGAATCTGCACTTGCCAGCAATAGGGATGAGTGGGGTTTCCTCGGGAAACCTCACCCAGGTTGAAAATGCACTCTCTCTTTCACTGCACCTCCATCCGCTCAAAAGTCTTTTGGTTTCGGTGTCCCTTCATCTTTAAATTTGAGGTGGCCATGTGGGCTCTTTGTCCCATTCTTTCTACTCAACATTCCTGGTCATACTGTTAATAGCATTATCAATGTAAGTATTTGAAGAGTTAATTCTTAATGAGTCAACTTAAATTTCTACCCCCTTCATTGCCAGATGTCTCACATGTCCAGATTTCTCAGTCCTTTCTACTTATGTGTGTTCTCCCCTCTCACTTTCCATTTCCTTCTTTATGGTTTGTATCTGCAAAGAAAGCCACCTCTGTTTTTGTCACCATCATCCCACAATTTTCCTTCACCAGCAGGTTGATATTTTTCCAATTTGTTTCAGATTGGGCGACGCCATCTCAAACCAAATGGTCAATTCTTATGGAAGATATTTTTGGGAAGGAAACATCGAATGGTGTGACAGTGGTAAGATTTCCTTGGAATAATTCTGAATCGTCCATATTGAGAGAGGACAGGGGCAGCCTGAGTTAGAAAAGCTTCTCAAAACCAGGCAGGTCCCCCACACCCCTCAACCATGCCCAAGAGCAAACAGTGATAGAGATAATATTACCAGTTTCGGGAAAACCCTGAATTTGGCCCCAGAATTTTCTTAAAGTTCTATTGAGTAATTATTTCTATAACTACATCTCAGATGTCGAGTGTTGGCTTAATTTAGTTTTGAACAGTTAACAGAGTACATATGCAAAAAGCTTTGTGAAAGTTACACACATGGCATTCATTTGTTTTCTTTTTTGATGGAGTCCAAACAGGGCAGAAGCAACACTTTGCTTTGCAGATTGTGACATCATTAGTAATTATGATGTGCTTCTGCTTATATCAGTTTATGTGGGGATAGTCTTAGGAATGTAACAAACATGGGAAATGCCTTACTCAGTGCTCCCTTTCCATCAACAGGAAAGCAGTCAGCTTGGAGAGAAGTCCACGGAATACACTAACCTGTTTGACGTCTTCAGCATAGGCACTCATCTCACTCAGCAGATGGGAAGGCACACTGGCAAGAGACCGTATCACCTCCGGGACTGTGGGGTGGCTTTCAGGAACAGGTCCCATGTAACTCAACACGTGAGCATTTACAACGGGAGGAAGATGCACGAATGTCATCAGTGTCAGAAAGCCTTCACCACAAGTGCTTCCCTCACACGGCACAGGAGAATACATACTGGGGAGAAGCCCTATGAGTGCAGTGCTTGCGGGAAGGCTTTCAATGATCCCTCAGCCCTCAGGAGTCACGCAAGAACTCACCTCACAGAGAAGCCCTTTGACTGCAGTCAATGTGGGAATGCCTTCCGCACCCTCTCCTCCCTGAAGATACACATGAGAGTCCACACTGGGGAGCGGCCGTACAAGTGTGACGAGTGTGGGAAGGCTTATGGCCGGAGCTGCCACCTCATTGCCCACAGGAGAACACACACTGGGGAGAGACCCTACGAGTGTCATGATTGTGGCAAGGCTTTCCAGCACCCCTCCCATCTCAAAGAGCATGTCAGGAATCACACTGGGGAGAAGCCCTACGAGTGCACGCAGTGTGGAAAAGCCTTCCGGTGGAAGTCAAACTTTAACTTGCACAAGAAGAACCACACAGTAGAGAAAAGCTACGAGTGTAAAGAGTGTGGGAAATCTTTCGGGGACCTCCTGTCCCGGAGGAAACACATGAGAATTCACATTGTTAAGAAGCCTGTTGAGTGCAGACAGTGCGGGAAGGCATTCAGGAACCAGTCCATCCTCAAGACGCACATGAATTCCCATACTGGAGAGAAGCCGTATGGATGCGACCTCTGCGGGAAAGCCTTCAGTGCGAGCTCCAACCTAACTGCGCACAGAAAGATCCACACCCAAGAGAGACGCTACGAGTGTGCTGCCTGCGGGAAGGTCTTCGGAGACTATTTATCCCGGAGGAGGCATATGAGCATTCATCTAGTGAAGAAGCGTGTTGAATGCAGACAGTGTGGGAAAGCCTTCAGAAACCAGTCGACCCTCAAGACACACATGAGAAGTCACACAGGAGAGAAGCCTTATGAGTGTGACCACTGTGGGAAGGCCTTCAGCATCGGCTCAAACCTCAATGTACACAGGAGGATACACACTGGGGAGAAGCCTTATGAGTGCCTGGCCTGCGGGAAAGCCTTCAGTGACCATTCGTCCCTCAGGAGCCATGTGAAAACTCACCGGGGTGAGAAGCTCTTTGTGTCATCGGTGTGGAAAAGGCTCCAGTGACACATCTTTTTTAAAGAAAAACATGAGAACTCAGATTGACAGGGAACCTGGCAGGTGTCAGGAAGGCAGGAAGCTTTGAGGAACTCATCTCACTGTTAACTTGGGAGAAATCCAGTTCGTATAATAACTGGGGAAAGACTTGGGTTTTTCCACATCACATTGGAACTATGTGAGAACTCATAGTGGGTGAGAAAACGTGTATCTGAGGTATGAGGAAGCCATCAGTTTACATGTAGCTCTCAACAAACAGGAGAACTTGGAGAGGGAACCCCTAACCTGGTATTTAATGTCAGAATGACTTTAGTACCACCTCGTACCTTCTGGGCACAAGAACAAGCTCATCTTGGAGGATCTCTGTAAATTCCATGACTGGACAAACCTTTCCTGGTCTGATTGTATCCCTCATGAGAGAAATCACACTAAAGAGAAAAATCTATGAAATAAGGACCATGGGGAAGCCAGTAATAGGTTGGCAAGCTATAGCCAGCTGTCTCTTTTCATGCAGCTGGCAAGTTTAGAATAGTGGTTGTGTTTTTAAAGAAGAAAAATATGTGACAGAGACCACTTTTGGCCCACAAAACCTAAAATACTCAACTCTCTGGCCGTTTACAGAAAAAAAATTGCCAGTTCTTTATCTACAGCAGTGGGGATAACTTTGCTCCCTGGGGGGGCACTTGGCAAAGTCTAGAGACATAGTTGGTCTTTAAAAGTGGAGGGGGGTTGCCATTGGCATGTTTTGGAAGACACCAAGGATGCTGCTAAATATCCTACAATGCACAGGGGCTTTCCTCAAGAGGGAGAAAGTATGTGCCCCAGAATGTCAGTATTGCTACGGTTGAGAAATTTTAACCAACAGTTCCTCATGTTTTTGTGAAACACGTGGGTACTCACATTATGAGAAATTCCTATTTACAGCTTCAAAACTATACTCAGTGTAATTCTTTTAGGAATCACATGAGAACCCACATTGCAGACAATCCCTCTGTGGAGTTTCATCCACAGCCCTCTCACGTGTGTGTATGAGAGTTCTCTCCCCAGTAGGATTTCTCAGTATGTGTGGAATTACACTTATCAGTTAGTCTTCTATCACAAAAATGGACCCCAGCTCATTAATTTTTCAGTCTTTAATTTTAAGGTTATGCTCTTGCAAATAACCCTCACGCCTCATCACAGAAGGTTTGTACATAGTAATTCTACTATAATTTCATTTGTGATATGTGTTTATTTCCTTTTGGACAACTTACTTTGAACAGTGGAGTTTTTTTTTTGTTTTGTTTTTTTAAGACTAGTGTCATGTGCTGTGTAACATGTGGGTATTTTTAGTACCTATTTGTTACAAATATCTAATTCAAATAAGTTGTGATCAGAGCAGGATGTGTTCATCAAATCGGTCCTTTGGAATGTTTTTGGCCTCCTATCCAGCCACAAGTAACCTAAACTTGTAGTTGCATCTTCAGTATCTTTTTCTTTCATATCAGAAAGATCCAAGTTCTGATTAGTAAGGTATGCTATTTTAGAAAATCTCTTACAGGTTTTCCTGCAACTAGTAGAGTCCATGTCCACAGCCTGGCCATTGACAAAAAGGCAGATGCCACAATACAGGCTGTGAGAAAGCACTTGAGAAAGGGTCTGTCTTACCTGGATTCTTCTCTACATTTTTTTTCCCCTTATTCTTCCCCTTACTTCGCACCTTGAGAAGAGATCCAGTACCTAGTGTTAAAGATCCATGTTATGACCATGAGGATGCAAGCCACAGGCTAAGCAAGAGGAGTAGGGCAGTTTACTGCAGAAAAATCACGATAATCTTGGCTTCCTCGATGGCCTCTTTGAGTGTCTGCACTAGCCCTGGATTTGTTATTTCCAGACTTACATGAGAAAAAATAAAACTGGTTATTGGTTTAAGCTGCTTTGGATATTTCATTGTTTAATCTATTTAATAATTGTTTTATTGGTGGTTGGAATGTTCTACTGTACCAGATTGGGTGTTGTCCATAACCCATGCCTCAGGTCATTAGTGGGGTTGGGTAGCTGCTGCTATACATGTGGGTATAATCTGTTTATAATTGTTGGATTTGGGTTTTTAAAAATCCTTAAGGGCATCCCTGGAGGCTCAGTGGTAAAGAATCCACCTGCAGTGCAGGAGACCTGGGTTCCATCCCTGGGTCAGGAAGATCCCTTGAAGAAGAAAGTGGCAAGCCACTTCATTATTCTTGCCTGGAAAATCTTTTGGACAGAGGAGCCTGGCAGGCTACAGTCCATGGGGTTGGAAAAGAGTCAGACATGACTTAGTGACTAAACAACAAAAATCCTTGTACCCCTGTTTTTAAATTGTATTTCATGTCTCTGATGTGCTTAAGCATTATTTCTTAACTTGTGTTGAAGTAAGCGTATTGGTTTTCGCAAAAACCCTAAGAGATAGGTAGTGCCAATAACGCCCTTTTGCATATGGGCAGTCTGAGGCAAGGAAGTTTGTTACTTGTTTGAGGTCAGCTCATTAACAAGTTGTAGTGCCTTTCTTGTTTACTTGTTTTAAATATTTATTTATTTGGTTGTGCCAGGTCTTAGTTGGTGCATACAGAATCTTTAGTTGCATCATGTGTACTCTAGTTCCCTGACCAGGGATGGAACCTGGGCCCCCTGCTTTGGGAGCACAAGTCTTAACCCACTGGACCACCAGGGAGGTCCTTGTGCCCGTGTTTCAAGTTCATTCTTATGTTGGACCCTGTTCTGTGCCCTGAGTCTATAGCAGTGAATCAGGATTTTTGCCTTTATGGTGATCACATTCTACATGGGATGAAGGCACGTGATAAACAAATGGCTAAATATGTGGCCATATTGGCAGTCATTTCAGTGCCCCAAAATTTAAGCATGGTGATGATGACAGGGATGTGGGGGTTCAGTGAGTCTATTTTACAGATAGGGAAAACCTGTTGCTTAAGGGGACATTGTTGAGCAGAGATGTAAATTCCCTGCAAGTGTGTGCCATGTTCTGATGTAGCAAGAGCACCCGAGGCAGTTCAGAGGTCATGAAAAAAGAATTTTGCTTGCTAGGGCCAGTGTGGCTGGAAATCTGACAAGCTTGGGAGTCACAGAAGGTGGTAAGGTCAGTGCTGGAATGGGATCCTTTACACAGGGGCATCTTGTGGGTCAGCTGGAAAGACTTCACCTTTTATTCTCTGTGGAAGGTCAGTGGAGGGTTCTGTACAGAGAAGTAACAACTATTCCATCTCTGTTTTAAAGAATCATTGGCTTTCAGGTTGGTTGGCTGAGTAGAAGGATAGGATGCAAAAACAGAAATGTTAGAAGTTCATTGCAAAGTTGAAGTTAAGTATAACGGTGTCCAGTTGCTGTATTTGAAATAGATAACTAACAAGGACTTACTGTATAGCACATGGAACTCTGCTCATTGTTACGTGGCAGCTTGGATGGGAGGAGAATTTAGGGGAGAATGCATCCATGTATATGTATGGCTGAATCCCTTCACTGTTTGCATAAAATTACCACAACATTGTTAATCACCTATAGCCCAATACAAAATAAAAAGTTTAGAGTTTGAAAATAAGAAAAGTAACAGTATTAGTATCGGGTTGGCTGAAAAGTTCACTTGGGTCTTTCTGTAAGGTCTTAGGAAAAAGCCACATGAACTTTTTGGCTAACTAGTAAGGGTATTTCGAGAAGCACATTGAATGTGGCTGTAGTTTCATTTTCACTTCGGATGAGTGGTTCCTTATCATCCCACAATTTGTTTAACAACAGCTGATGTACAGTTCCTGGACTGTTTTCACTTTCCCTGATTATGAACAATGCTGTTGTAAGAAAATGTATAACACACTTTCTGGAGTGTTCAGTTATTCCAGGAGTGTGAAACTGTTAGGTTGTAAGGTTTGTGCATGTTCAGTTTATCTTCATGCCAAAGGTGTTTCTAAGTGTTTGTGTATGGTTTGTGTGTGGTATCATGTAAAACAGGTGTTGCTGAACTTCAGAAAAGTGTTTAACTCATACTTTGTTATTGTTTACTTGCTAAGTCATATCCGACTTTTTTACAACCCCAGGGACTATAAACTGCCTGGCTCTTCTGCCCATGGGATTTCCCAGGCAAGAATACTGGAGTGGGTTGCCATTTCCTTCTCTGGGGCATCTTCCCAACCCAGTGATCAAACCCATGTCCCCTACATTGGTAGATAGGTTTTTTTTTTGCCACTGAGCCACCAGGGAAGCCCTAACTCATGTACAATTAAATTGTCACATGAACTCATCCATGTAAGCAGGCAAGAAAAATGTTTTACATGTTTTAGCATTCCTGATAACTCCTCCTCGCCAAATAACAAACCTTGCCTTACTCCCCACAAGTGACCTGTGTTCTGGCTCTGACAACATGGCTTGGATTTTTATTTTTGGACCCTAATGGAACCAAACAGTATACGTTCTTTAGTGTTGATCTTAATTTACTCAAAATTTTCGTGAAACTGATCCATATTGTCTTGAGTTCCTCTAGATAGTAGTACATTTTATTGTGTTCCATTGTTTGAATATTCCAGTTTATTTCAGCAGTTTGTGTTGGTGGACATTTGACTTCTCAGTTTGAGTCTATTGTAAATAACGCTGCTATGAGCATATTTTAATATTTCTGATAGTGCATAAGTGCATGAGTTTCTGTTGGCTTTATACCCTGGACTAATATCACTGGGTCATATGGGATGCATATTTCATAAATGATGCCAGTTTTCCAAAGTGTTTGTAGACAGTTTTCCAACAGGCTCTTTTATGGAATTGGATCAGATGATACCAAATTTGCCTGCCTTTTTCATACTGATTTGTATATTCCAGATGTGGGCCTTATGGCTGGATATGTTTTGCAAGTAATTTTCCCCATTCTGACTTGTCTCTTCAGTGTTCTAATTGTTATCTTTTGATGAAATAAGTTCTTAATTTTAATGTCATCTAATCTTTATGGGCATCCTCTTCTTGTGTAAGAAACATTTACCTACCCTGAGGGCAAGAAGATATTCCACATTTTTTTCTACAAGTTTTATTGTTTTTGTGTATACATTTAGATATGCATCTTGGAACTGATTTTTTGTGTTAGAGTGTGAAGTAGGATTAAGTTTTATTTTTTCCATATTAACCCAACATCATTTATTTTAAAAGTACAGCTTCACCCCAGGAATTTTCCACCTTTGTCATTTACTGAATTCCATACGCATTGGTTCTAAATTTAGGCTTAATTCTGTTCTACTGTTCTATTCACACCCTATGCCACAGTGTTTAAATTATAAATAAGAAGCTTTATAATAAGTCTCAATATCTGGATGGACTAGTTTCTCCTCATGGTTTCTCTTTTTCAGTCTTTTCCTAGGTATTTGTGTGTGTTTGTGTGTGTGTGTGTGTGTGTGTGTGTGTGCGTGTGTGTGTTTGGGGGGGGGGTTATGTGTACTTGTCTGTTGCCTTGTCCATCTCCATAATACTAGCTTGTTGGTATTTTTATTGGCATTGCCTTGAATTTATAAGTTAATTGGTGGGGAATTAATATCTCTATAATGTTAAGTTCTTATCCAAGAACAAGGGATGTTTTCCCGTTTGTTTAAGTCTACTTTAGTGTTTGTCAGGAATGTTTAAAAATTTTCTTTGTACAAGTATTCTAGTCTCATTAGGTTTTCGGTAAGTAGTTAATCCTACATTGTTAATTAAAATTTCTCAACCATTATGTCTTCACAGCTTTTGTATGTGAGAGCTACTAATACTGTGTCTTGGATTTTATAATTTGCTGCTTCACTGAATTCTTTCATTTTTTTGAGTTCATTTTATTATTTATTTTCTGGGATATTCCAGGCATACTACTGTATCATCTACAGATTGAGTGAGCTTTGCTTGTTTATCAGTCTTTTAAAAAATATTTATTTTTGCTGCCTTAGTTGTGGTTGTGAACTCTTAGTTTCAGCATGCAGGCTCTTGGTTACAGCATGCCTGAGATCTGGTTCCCCAGCTAGGGATCAAACCCAGGCCCTCTGCATTGGCAGCATGGAGGCTTACCCATTGGACCACCGGGGAAGTCACTGTTTGTCAGTTCTTAAGTCTCTAATTTTTTTGCCTGTGTGGTTGTATTGACTAGTACCTCTAATATGATAATAGAGGGCATTTTTGTATTGTTCTGGGGTAATACCCTGTTTTTCCATTGATTAAGATAAATGTCTTTTAGAATGAAGTTTACAGTTGACCCTTGAACAACATGGGGCTTAGGGACACTGACACTCCACATAGTAAAATATCCATGTATAACTTTTTTGGTCCTCCATATCCATGATTCCACATCTAGGGATTCAGTGGCAGATTGTGTGGTACTGCAATACATATTTTTTTGAAAAAAAATCCATGTGTAAGTGGACTCCAGTTCAAACTCATGTTATTCAAGGATCAATATTTTATCATATTGAGAAGGTATTCTATGTTCTTGAATATTTTATCATAGATGTGTACTGTATTTTGTCAGAATTTTTCTGAACATCTGTGAAGAGGATTGTGATTCTCTTCCTCTGATTTATTAATATATTAATAAATTTCTCAACACTCAACAAATTTTGTGTCCCGAGAATGAATTTCATTGGCCATGGTATGTTATTTTCTTAATGTGTTATTGGATTCTGTTTACTAGTATTTTGTTGAGAATTTTGCATTGGTATTCATGAGTAATTGATACATGGTTTCTTAGAACTGTCTTTCTGGTTTGGGTTTTAGTATTATGGCTGCTTCATGAGAGGACTTAGGAATTTTTTTCCCTCTTTTTCAGTACTCTGGAATAGTTTGTACAGCATTAGGACTATGTGGTTTTTGGAAAATCAGGTAGAATTCCCCATGAAACCATCTGGGTGAATTGCTTTTTAGTGGTATATTTTCTTAGGAACTTTATTTCTTTTATGGAAATTAGTCTGTGTTAAGTTTTCTAACCTGAGTGGCGTCAGCATTGGTAATCTGTATTTTCATGGGGAATAGCTCATTTCATCTAGCATAGAGGTCAGTAAAGTGGTTATATGATTTAAAAATATTTTTTGATTCGATGGTCATTTCTCTCTTACTGCACTCATTCTACTTGCAGCGCTCCATGCGGGTCTTTGGGTGCCTGGTGTTGGTAATTGTGCATCGGTGAGTGAAGGTGCTGAGTGTTTTGCAGATCAAACGTTTTCCTCAGCTCACTAGTGAAGGAATAGCAATTATTGACTAGCTCTTGCCTAGATTTGGGGGGGAAAAAAAATAATGTGCCCTTAGAGGCCAGACCCAAGGGGAGAAGAGTACTTTTTCTCAGTATTGACTAATGTAAGACTGTTTCTTTAATTAGGAGCCCTCAGAATCCAACACAGCTACTCCGTCAGCCCAATTCCAACATCATGTCAGTTAACAGGCCAGAGGAAACTGCATTCCCACCTGCACCTAAGTGCCCCAGAGCTCCTGCATCTCATCGCACTTTTCTGCCAGTTCTTGGGACAGACCTGCTACCTTACACAGTCTCTCTGGAGGGGACTTCTAATTATATTCTTACTCAGTCTTCATGTCTCATTATGGCCTGAGTTCTTGGGGGTTCTCCTACAGGAACCAGCTCTATCTTGTGTAACTTCAACCCACTCTGGATTTTTTTCCTCTCTAAAGAACCAGTGAATATCAGTTAAGGGCCTTATACTGGATTAGGCTTTGGGAAAAAAGACATGATGCTGTCCTTAAAGGAGTAAAGATCTAAGAGGAGAGATGGGTATAAACAATAGATGAGATAGCTAATATGGCCTGTTAATCCATTAACAAGGACCCGAGGAGGTATGTTGAACTTTTGGAGTTCATAAAGAGCCATATTGAAGAGATGACACAAGCTAAGCTTAGAAGGCTTATTTATAGTGTTCGAGATTAGATTTGAGTAAGCATGTCAATCATGAGTGCAAAGGCAAAGAAAATTCTGCATCACATTCTCTGACCTGTAAAAAAGGACAATCTTGGAAGTAGAAGATAAAGCTAGAGGGGTAACCTGGGAGATTATATAACACATGCACACATACATCAGGACTTTATCAGTCTCAGTTTAAGTTTTAATTGAAGTTGATAGAAATATGTTGACATTGGTGAGATTGAGTTTAGAAAAGTAGCCTGTGCACACTTCTTAGTAGAATGGAATGAAGGGAGCCTGTTCATAATTGCTGCATAATAAACTACCTGAAACACAGTGGTGTAAAACAACCACCATTTGTTTAGTTTACAGTTCTGTTGGTTGACAGTTGGGATTGTGCTTAGCTGGGCTTACTAATGTGCTTGCAGTCGACTGCTGGTCTGGCTTGGGGGTTACTTGCTCATTCTGGTCTCATCCTCCAACAGTCTAACTGGGGCCTTATGAGATGAGGCTTTGTACATATGATGCTGGAGGGTTCTAGAAGAGCACAAGCTCCACTGCAGGTGCTTTTCAAGTGCCTGTATGTGTCATGTTTGCCTGCACCCCATTGCCCAGTGCTGGTCACGTGGGTGAGCCCAGGGTGGAAAGAAGAAGCTACAAAGAAGGGAAGTGGGTACAGGAAAGGGAAGAAATGGTACCTGTTTTGCAGTTGCCACAAGCCCAGTGTTACAGTGCAGGGATTTAAAAAGAGAGGATAACTTCATATAGGTGTAATTAACATATAAGGAAGGGGCTTTCCTGGTGGTCGAGTGGCTAAGAATCCACCTTGCAGTGCCAGGGACATGGGTTCGATCCCTGGTTTGGGAAGATGCCACATGCTGCCGAGCAACTAAGCCCATGCACCACAACTGCTGAGTGTGCCTTCTGGAGGCTGTGCTGTGCAAGAAGAGACACCACTGCGTGAGAAGCCCGTGCATCACAATGAAGAGTAGCTCCTGCTTTCCGCAACTAGAGAAAGCCCTCATGCAGCAGTGAGGACCCAGTGCAGCCAAAATAAATGTTTAAAAAATCGACATATATGAAGCTGCACGTTCTTAAAATATATACTGATATAAGTTTTGTCCTATATATACCCTTGTGAAACCATCACACAGTCAAGATGGTGACCCCCCCAAATGTTTCCTCATGTCCCTTTTAATGCTTCCCCATCATCCTCCAGGCAAACGATGAACAGACAAGGTTCTTGTCCTCTGGCACTAAAATTTGTTCATCAGTTCAACAAATGTCCATTAATACTTCTGTACCAGACCTAAGGCCCATTCTTCCTGTAAGAAGAGGCTCATATCGTAGGGCCTTAGGAAAACCAGGGTCTAACCCTCACTTATTTTTTTCTCTTCATTTTCCTTTCATCAGTTGTCTGAGTCATGGTAAATCACTGATTTTCATTCAGGAGTGATTTTGTTCTTAAGGGATATTTGGCAATGTCTGGAGATACTTTTTTAAAAATCTTTTCTGAATGGGATGTGAGAGTTGGGTAAGCTACTGGTATCTAGTGTATAAGGCCATGAATGCTGCTAAGCGTCCTACAATGTATAGGGCAGTGCCCCTGCTCCTCCCTCATCCTCTGTCCCAAGAATTACCTGGCCCCAAATTTTAACAGTACCCAGGTTGAAAAACCCTTTGATATAGTAAATGTTTCTACACTTCTAACTAATTGAAAGATGGCGGATAATCATACTGTTGCAGGCTTATTAGGATAGTCCTATTTTGGCTTCATCTTATTCTAATTCTCCAGGTCACCAGGGCCAGAGATTCCATAGAATGATTGGAAGCTAAAACATTGTATTGAATAAAGTGATTTTTTTTCTTTTTAACTAATATCAATCGGTTTGTATTTCAACCTCAGACCCCTGCTGGAGAAGAATGCAGCTGTGCAGAGCTTTCTGGAGTCCAGGATCCTGCCTATAGGTGTGCCTCTTTTGGTACAAGATGGGGGCATAAATAAATATGTTCATAAATATGACAGCCACTGCTTTTTGCAAATGTGTGCATTTGATATTAACTTTCTATAATCACCCCAGCCATTATTTAATACTTAACAATGCAGAATCTGAGACTACTTAGAAACAGTGCTAAATTGCTCTAGTCATGTCCAACTCTTTGTGACCCTATGGACTGTATAGACTGCCAGGCTCCTCTGTCCAAGAGAAAGTTATAATTCAACCATTGGAGTCTGCCAGGATCCAAATCAGGTATTTACCAAGAGAGTTCAACATTCCTCAGGTCAACCCAAGGCAGGTTTTAATTTTTTACCCTCATTTCAAGAGAATCTCCCCTTGGGGCTGAACTGTATAAGGGATGCTCTGCCCTCCCAGTTCACTGTTGCAGGGAGTCCTGGTCCAATCCTTAGTCTCTAGATCCAAGGAAGTTCTCTCCTGTACTCTGCAGATCTGATCTTCAGCACGTGGTGCTCTGGACTGAGCCTTAGAATGGCTGCCTCTCCTACATGATGTCCTCAGTGCTGTGAGTCAGCTCTGGGAATTCACTCAGCCTCTTCTAAACCCATAGCCTGATCAACCCTCTACAGCTTTTCCACCTGGTCTGGTGATAATGGATCCCTTTGTACCTTCACCATGGTGAGCATGGACCTAGATGGCCCTCATGGATCTTCTGATACTTATGCCAGACACTGTTCTGAATTCTCTTAGGTATAATGTTTAATCTCCATTGGAACTCTTAAGGAAATATGGAATACAGAGACACAAAGAGGTTAAGTAACATGCGTGAGATTGCACACTTAGTGAATGATGAAGAGAGATTAACCCAGAGCCCTCTTGGCCTCTGTGATCTGCCCCACCTCAAAATATGGTAAGTGCTATGGAAATGAATGAACAGGAGGATGGTGGTCAGGTTTGGACTCTCTGAAGAGCTGACAGTTTCTATTTGAAGCCTAGCATGTGACAATTCAGGGAAGTGTGGACCAGCGAAGGAAGACAGTGAGTAGAATGTTTTGGACCTTTATTTTAGATCAGATGGGTCAACAGAGACCAGAGTTTCCTTTTTCTGAAAGTAGAAACTGCACGGAGTTTCCTAAAGAAGTTTCTCATTAAAGTCCCAAGTATAGGTCAATGGCCAACACCAAAGCCAGACTCAATAAGTGTAAAACCTTACAGGGTGAGGGAGGTTGGTATGAGACAGTCCAAACAATGGTTTTCAGACCAAAACTAAGGAAAGGCATGGTCCAGCAGGCATGGTGCTAGAAGTTTGAACATAACTGAGAGGATTTAAAGCTGAGTCAATGTGTAAATTTTTGTGGTCATTCTTGTCCTCTCCCCATCTGCATTTCTTGACTTGCTTTTTCCTCCCTTGATGCTTACAGGAATCAATCCTTGGAATGATTTGTTTCCATGGGAAGTTTAGTTATTGATTGGTCATTCTTTTTCCTTGGTAGATGGTGAGCATTTTAGTGTGCTGCTTCAAGTTTGTCTTTGGCTCAGAAATATTTTCTTCTAGTATATCATAAATAATGTTTCTTTTCTATGTCTTCAGATTACACCTTCATGGACACCAGTTATCAACACTTGGGATCTCCGTTGCCTGCCCTTAACTTCCATTATCTCACTGAGAGTATGTTCCTCTAGTGAAAAGTCTCCTCAGAGCCCCCTTCATGTCCCTGTTCCTCAGACTGTAGATGAAGGGGTTCAGCATGGGAGTGACTACTGTGTACATCACCGAGGCTATTGAACCCTTTCTGGAGGGATGGGCTGTTCCTGAAGTGAGGTAGACCCCAAGGCCTGCACCATAGAACAAGGAGACAACTGAGAGGTGAGACCCACAGGTGGAAAAGGCTTTATACTTCCCCCCAGAAGATGAAATGCCCATTATGGAGAAGATAATTCTAGAATAAGAGAAAAGGATCCCAGTCAGGGGAATAACACCCAGCAGGCCAGTTACAGAATACAGCACAATGTCATTGACAAGGGTGTCAGAGCAGGCAAGCTTGAGAATTTGAGCAAGTTCACAGAAGAAGTGGGGAATTTCTGTCTCTTTGCAGAAAGATACCCTCAAAACCATCAAACTTTGCAACAAAGAATATGTCAGGCAGATCAGCCAAGAAAGCAGAAGCAGGAAACCACAAAGGTGAGGATTCATGATGACTGTGTAGTGCAGGGGGTGACAGATGGCCACGAACCGGTCATAGGCCATCACTGTCAGTAGCAAATTATCCAGCCCAGCAAAGATCATGAAAAAGTACATCTGGGTAAGGCATCCTTCATATGTGATGCCTTTGTTCTGCTTCTGGATATTCACTAACATCTTGGGGACTATGGTGGAGGTGAAACAGATGTCAGTGAAGGACAGGTTGGAGAGGAAGAAGTACATGGGGGTGTGGAGGTTGGACTCAGAGATGATGGCCAGAATGATGAGCAGGTTCCCTGTAACACAGACCAGGTACATGGAGAGGAACAGTCCAATGAGGAGGGGCTGAAGGTCCTCATCATCCGAGAGCCCCAGAAGGATGAATTTTGAAATAACTGTCTGGTTCTCTGTTTCCATGTAAGTTATGGAAATTGCCTTACGGAAAGAGGCAAGACTAATGTTCAAACAATGACAAAACAGGAATGTGCCATATACTTGAAACTCAGTCACTCAAGCTTTATGTCTTATCTATGGCTTTTCTTTAGTTGACAAAGATCTCAATAATAGCTTCCTTATTTTGACCTCTGCTCCTCGGAGCACCTCTTTAAAAATTGAATGTTCCAGGACTTCCCTGGGGGTCCAGGTTTGGAATCTGCCTGCCAATCCAGGGGACATGGGTTCGATCCCTGGTCCAGGAGGGTTCCACATGCCATGGAGCACCTAGGTCCTTGAGCTACAATTACTGAAGCCCATGCACACTAGAGCCCCTGCTCTGCAACAAGAGAAGTCACTGCAATGAGAAGCCTACACGCTGCAACTAGAGGAATTCACTGGTGGTCCAGTGGTTAAGTCTGCCTTCCAATGTGGGGGATGCAGGTTTGATCCCAGGTCTGGGAACTAAGGTCCTACATGGCATGGAGCATAGGCTATAGAGCCCACGTGCCACAATGCAGCAGCCCACGTGCCGCAAGAGCCCAGGCATTGCAACAAAAGATTCGGTGTGCCACAACTAAGACCAAACACAGCCAGTAAATAAAGACATATTTAAAAACATGGACGTTCTACACCATGCAGGGCTTTCTTTCATCTTCCCTGATTCACAACTGTTCCTTTGCTCCCTAATTCCTGTGACAGTACCAGCCTCATGACCATCTCCTTCCTGCCTTGCAGTTGTGGTCTCTTCAAGTCCCAGAGAAAGGTGGAGAGGAGATCATTGGGAGTTACAAAATTAAGTGATAATCCTCATGCTGTTTGCTTGAAACAGGATCTTTAAGCAGACTATTCTCTGTCTCTCAAGTTTGACTTGGAAAAGGATACCGTGTAAAAGCTTTATAGATAATTCCTCCATTATCATATAGTAGCTTCTCTATTACTATCCCAATTGATCCCTCTATTGTAGTCATAATGACCAATGTAGCATAATACACCCTAATTGCAAAGGCAAAATCAGAGCCCCCACCGTAAGTGTTCCCAGCGGGTTTGTGTTGTAACTCTTCACATTTCTTCAGGTGGAGAGGACTATGCCTTTTCTGTTGCATTGCTGTTTCATAACCTAAGCACTTATTATGGTACTTGGTATATAATGTGTGTGTGCTTAGTAGCTTCAGTCATGTCTGATTCTTTTCCACCCTATGGACCGAAGCCCACCAGGCTCCTCTTCCATGGGATTCTCCAGGCAAGAATATTGGAGTGGATTGCTATGCCTTCCTCCAGGGGATTTCCAGCCCAGGGGTCAAACTCTGCATCTCCTTTGCTGCAGGTGGATTCTTTCTCCACTGAGCCATCTGGGATAAAATGGGTACTCTATAAATATTTGTTGAATGAATAACAGATATTGTCAGGGTGGAGTAGAGGCAATTCCCTATCATAAAATCTTTTGACTAAGAACAAAGAGACTATTTATCATGAACTTTTTTCAATTGAAAATAAAGAGAATGAGAGCCTTCTGTCTTTTATTGCACTCCTTAAAAAAAAAAAAAAAAAGCTTTGGTTTCTCTTTGAATGTTGCACCTCTGCCACAGGAGGGAATTTTTAAACTGAGAACAATTGTCCTCAATTTTATATGCATTTAAGCAAAGGTTTCTTCCTTTGAGCTGAAATGTGTCTTTATAACTTATGGTTTTAGTTCCCCGCTCTGAAGATCATTTCTCTTTGCCATGATAACTTTAGATGTTTGCAGACATTTAAATGATTCTCTGAGTCTCCTCATCTTTCATTGATTTCACAGTTATTTGAGTGCCTACTGTATGCCAGGCACTGGGTTAGAGCCAAGTATGAAAGGTAAGAGACATGGGCTCTGCTATTCTGTAGCATTGAGTGTTACGGAAATGTCACTGCCTTTGACTCCTCTGGGGTCATTATTCTGATTAAGACTCTGACGATCCAGCCACTCAAAGAAAGTTATTAGCAGGAGTATTAACTAGTCAAATGTAAGGAACTTAATTGAAAACCCAAGGAAGTTTGTGAAAGATGAATGAGGACAGGCAACTTTTAAAACAGTGAGATGACATAAATACAGAAATATCAATGGGACAGACTGGACAGTCATGAAACAGTTATTAGCCAACATGAGAATTTAGTTTGTAATATAGATATATTGGGCTTCCCTGGTGGTTCAGAGATTAAAAAATCTGCCTGCCAATGCAGGAGATCTGGGTTCGATCCCTGGACCTGGAAGATCCTCTAGAGAAGGGCATGGCTATTGACTCCAGTATTCTTGCCCCCAAAATTCCAGGGACAGAGGAGCCTGGTGGGCTGCAGTCCATGGGGTCACAAAGAGTTTGACATGACTGAGCAACTGAGCATGAGCAACACTATATATGAGAATCACACTTTTATTTATTGGAAAATAAAGCTTTGATATTAGATACGCAACTACTCAATATCTTATAATTCTAGGAACATCCTGTACAATTTCATAGCTTTGGACTTTTGCCCCTCTCTTTGGGAGTCCCCCTCTCACCTGGAAAAGTCGTATCCCCCCTTCCATACTCTATCCTGAAATCTTCATTGGCATCGCCAGGCAGCAATGGACATACTTTCTTTGGACCTTCTCTGTACCTTGTTGAAACTGGACCACACCTGAAGCAAGCTATCTCATTGCATTGTGTGCATGTGTTCGTTTCTGGATTTTTACATCCTACCCAGAGAGGAATGCATTATAGTTACCTCTTTATGTGCAGTATCCAGCTCAGTGTTAGGCATAGAGGAGAAGCTCTGTAGATGTATAAATGTCCTTTTGAAGGAAAAAATGGTGGAAAATTATTCAGGTGGGTACAGAGTGGGCTTTCCTAGTGGCTCAGATGGCAGAGAATCCACCTGCTGTGCAAGAGACCCAGGTTCAATCTTGGTTTGGGAAGATCCACCAGAGAAGGGAATGGCTACCCACTCCAGTATTCTTGCCTGGGGAATTCCATGGAAAGAGGAGCCTGGTGGTCTATGGTTCATGGGATTGAAAAGGGTTTAATACAACCAAAGGACTAACATATACTCACATAGAGTGGGTTATGAGGGGTGGGCCAGAACTGAGGGACACTTAAAGGAGAGTTTACCTAGAAATAGAGGTAAGAGAACACAGAGTGTCATGGGGCTTGGAGAGCCCTGTCCAGCACCGAAGACTTTTCCTTGATTTTGGTGAGTTTTTCTTCCCCTGGTGGCTCAGTCAGAAAAAAAAAATAAAAATCTACTTGCAACGCAGGATACCTGGATTTGATCCCTTGGTGGGGAAGATCCCCTGGAGAAGGGAATGGCAACCCACTCCAGTATTCTTGCCTGGAGAATCGCGTGGACAGAGGAGCCTGGAGGGCTACAGTCCATGGGGTCGCAAAGAGTCAGACACAGCTGAGCGACTAACACCTCTTCCCCGTATATACCTACCTGTGTGCCAGGAAAACATGCAGGGAAAAGATTTGGCTCCTTCTTACCTCTTTACCACAGCTGTTTCTGAGCAACCTAAGGCATCACAGTGCAATTTCTAAAGGTCTGGGTTCTATGATCTTTGCTTCTCTCAGTGGAGGACAAACAAGGACAGAGATCAGAGACGAAGAGCTGAGTCTGGGACTCAGGGCTAGACTGATTCCTGGTGTGGCACAGGGCGTTTCCTCCTGCCGTGGGATAGGTGAGCCAGAGGAGAAAGAGCACAGGAGGATTATGTGGGGCTGAATCCCCTCACTTCCTACTGAACGATTGGCTGCTTTTGTCTATTTCTGGAGAGTTCCCCCCTCGAGGGTCCAGGGAGTGACCTGCTCTGCCACATCCACCCACTGGGGGCAGAGCTGGAGCCACACGTGTGGTCTGCTATCCCCTCAACCCTAAGTCCTACAACCCCACACCTCAGCCCTCATTAGCCCCTTTTCTTCCTGAAGCAGTTTTTCTCCTCTTGGATTTGGCCTCTAGGGTACCCCGCTTCCCTTAGGGAGCATCTTACTCCACCTCCAGTTCAATTACAAGTCTAAAGATTAAGAAACATCTTGGGTGAAGTCTTCTTCAAGATCCTGGGGATACCTGCGGACCACGCCTTGGGACAGATTTAGAAAGAATTCTGCGTAATTGTTTGTTCTCATGATATAAAAAATGGTTAAAGATACTTTTCCAGTTGGCTGTTATAGTTCATGAATATAATAAATAAATGACTATTAAAAAAAAAAAAAAGAAAGCAGTAGAGGGACTCCCCTGGTGGTCCAGTGGTTAAGACTCCATGCTCCCAATGCGGGGGGCCTGGGTCCAATCTCTGGCCAGGAAGCTAGAGCCCACATGCTGCAAACTGAGTTCACATGACCAACTAAAAGATTTCATGTGCCACAACTGAGAGTTTGCATTGTTGCAGCTGCAGATTTCGCATGCTTCAACAAAGATCAAAGATCCCATGTGCTGCAACTAAGATTGGATGCAGCCAAAAAGTTAAAAAAGTGGACAGGAGGACAAGCTTTCAAGAGTCACCACAGTAACAGGACAATGACCTTGACCATTCCCAGGCCCAAACAGGCATGAGGCAACTTGATGCTGTGTGTCTGGAGAAAGTTAAGTTGGAAGTCAGGGGTAACTGAGTGATGGGGCTGTCAGGACTTTCACAGAACCATGTGGTCTGCTTTGTAGTCGGCCTAGCAGATATCCCCTTTTCATTCGACTTATAAACCCTTTTTAAGCCCCTTCCTTTTTTTAAAAACTTTTTATTTTATATTGGAGTATAGCCGATTAACAATGTTGTGATACTTTCGGGTGGATGGTGAAGGGGTTCAGTCATACGTATACATGTATCCATCCTCCTCCAAACTGTCCTCCCATCCAGGCTGCCACATGACACACACTGAGAAGAGTTCCCTGGAGCACCTTCCATTTTTGACGATGTGATAAACAAGTCAAAGTAAGCCTCATGGGATTTCCTTGTGGTCATACAACCCATTGAGGTTATCCAAGGA